CCTGTCTGGGTCCGTGAGGCACTGTGTCTGGCGTGGCGCCCTTTCCTGCACCCACGACCTCGGCCCCACCTGCCCCCAGGCTGTGTGTGTGGGTGCCTTCTTTGGGGGCGCCTTCCACTGTTGCCCCAGCTCCTCAGCCCTGCATGACAAGTGCTCAGCAAGCCAGATGTGACCCATTTCAGACTCACTGAGCCTGGCCCGTGGGGTTTTTCTCTTCTGCTTTGCAAGTGATGCTGGGTCTGTGGAACACCAGCGACCGGCTCGTCTGTACTGGAGGTGTCGTCTTGCTGTTGGAGCTATTTTCCCCTCAAAGCTACCAGGGGGGCAGGTGTGCTTTCCTTCCCTCCCTGCGTCTGAACACGCTTTGGATCCCAAAACACACACGGCACAGAGGACGCTGTAGCTCGGGATTCCAAACGCTCAGGAGGCGGCCTAGCTGTTTTGGTGAAAACGGACCGTTAAAGCAGCCTCGCCAGGCCGCGGGGAGCGACGGGTCGCCTGCTGGCAAGTGACCCGAGCAGAAGCACGGCTGCAGCTCCGTTTCCAGCCTGCATTCAGCTGTTGTGCCCTAAATAGCCACTGTTCAAGTGCACCAAATATTCATCATCTCTCGAATGTTTGCAAGTCACAATTGCAAACTCCAGCACACCCAGACAATCAGAGCAAGGACTGACTCGGGGAGGGGACTGCAGTGGCTCTGGGAGCCCCACCGTTGCTGAATTTACTGTCTTCCTTACCGGAGATACAGAGGTCCCAGAAGGGCAGGGGCCCGAAGCCTCCTGTAATCCAGCCTCATGCAGCGTAAGGCAACCAAAGCCCAGAGAGGGGAGGGAGTGTTGCAAGGTCACACAGCAAGGATACTCTCTATGGCTAGGCCTCACCTTCTAGGTGCCTCCACGTGCACCTGCTCCCTGCCTGGACCCCCCCCCGCCACACACACACACACACACACACACACACGGCCCCGCAGGCCACTGGCACCTAGGTTGGAAGCCTTCACTCTCTCAGCCCCGACCACGTCTGTCACTGTGCCCAGGGGGTCTGCCTCTCCCAAGTGTCTCTAAGAGCCACGCTCATCCCCCATCCTCATGCCTCCTCAGGTGCAGATGCCAGCACCTCCCATCTGACACCCGATAAGCCCTCCCACCCTCTCCGTATAACATGGCTGACTGACACTCCTGGAAAAAAATCCAAACATCCAGGCCCAGATGCCCTGCAGAGTCTGACCCCTGCCCCTCTCCAGCTGCCTGGACTCGTCTCCCATCAAGTTCTGTGCTCAAACACAGAACCGTCCCACAGAACTTTCTGTGATGCTGGGCGTGTCCAACACGGCACCACCAGTTACGTGCAGCCACTGACGCCTCAGGTGTGGCTGGTGTGACGAGAGACTAGGTTGTAACTTCATCTCACTTAAATTAACCTCAGTATAAACAGCCATGTGATGTACTCCTCTGCACAACAGCACTGGTCCTCCAGACTGTAGAAGCCACCCGGTCCTGGAATGTGCCGCCTCCTCCAGGCTGGCCTTCTGGCCTGGGGTGCTGTCCGCCTGACCGTCACACTTGTGCTCAGGCCTCAGCTGGAGGTCACTTCTGAGAAACCTTCCAGCTGCCTCCCAAGTGCTCACCAGCCCTCAGTCTCCTGTCTGCCGTCAGTGGCTCGTTCTCTTGTTCGTTCTGCAGACGTATGTGTGGTACCCACCGAGGACCAGGCCCTGCGCAGTGGAGCAGACACACCGCTCTCCGTCCCGCCCTAAGCAGCAGCAGTGCCAGGCGTGAGTCACGCCCGCATTCCCTGCACCTGGCAGGAGGCCAGGCCGGGCTCAGTGATCGTGGGGTGACTGAACGCGTACCTCTGCCAGCAGGTGGTCACAGCTAGTGTTACGGGCACACCTGGTCGCTTCCTTTGCAAGAAGCAGGTTGAATCCTGTTGCAAAGCCTGTACGCTCTGGTGCATCTGCCCAGCCCCACCCCAACTTGCCAAATACCAGCTCCTCCTGGCTTCCTTCTATAAACTTGGTGCCCTGTCTCCTAAACCAATACAATAGAGTTTAGACCTCAAACCTATTCCTACAATGCCTTTGTTGACAGATGGATAAACTGAGCCCCAGTAAGGGGGAATGAATTTACTGGAGGTCACACAACAATGGCCTTGCCAGGCCTGCTGTCTCTGTGGATACACCAATGCTTCTGAACTTCAGCCATACACAGTCACCTGCACCACTATTACCTAGCATGTACATTTTTCGATATTACAATTTAAATACTACACCAAAAGCACGAGCTACAACAACATAATAGTTAACTCCAACATCCTCAGAATAAGAAACTTGTGCCTCAAAGGACACCACATATGTGATAAGGGTCTTATATCCAAAATATATAAAGAATTCTTACAATTTACTAATGGAAAGACAACCAACTAAACAACAGCAAAAGATCTGAACAGACATTTCTCCAAAGAAGACCTAAATGACCAACAAGGACAGGAAAAGACACTCGACACCACTCGTCAGTAGACAACTATGAATCAGAACCTCAAGGAGACACCGTGTCACACACCCACCAGGATGGCGAGGACCGAAAAGGCGGATAAAGACAAGTACTGACGAGAAGCACGTGGAGGTGGCTGGTGGGACCACACGATACGTAGCCGCCGAGGAAAAGCGTCTGTAGCTCTTTAAACAGTCACTTAGTTATTATGTGACCCAGCAATTCCACTCCCAGGCATACAGCCGGGAGAAATGAAAACATGTCCACCCAAAAACCTGTACATTCACGAATGTTCGTACAGCCAATAAGTGGAAATAACTCAAACGCCCATTAACGGATGAAAGTACAAGTAAAATGTGGCCCATCCACACTGTGGAGTATTGTTCGGCCACAGAAAGGAAGGAAGCTCTGACACCGGCCACAACATGGATGAACCTTGAACACATGATGCTCAGTGAGAGACGCAGACACAAAGAATCAGATAGTGTGTGATTCTGTTTACGTGAAACTCCAAGCTGGGCAAGTCCACAGAGGCAGAGAGTAGCCTAGTGGCTGTCCAGGCCTGGAGGGAGGGCAGCATCGGACAGGTTTTTTTTCTGGAGAAACGAAAAGGTTCTAAAATTGTGGTGATGGATGCACAGTTCCGTGAATATACTGAAAGCTATTGAATTGTAGACTTTAAGTGGCTGGATTATGAAATATGTAAATTACATCTTGATAAAGGTGTTAAAAAATCTTACTTTAACACTAAAGCAAGAATACTCCTCAGCAACTCATGGGTTAATGCGCTATTAAATATTTTTCAATGTCTATTAAAAATATATACCCATTAAACTTTAAATGGTGGGGCTTCCCTGGTTAAGAATCCACCTGCCAATGCAGGGGACACAGGTTCGAACCCTGGCCCGGGAAGATCCCACATGCTGCGGAACAACTAGGCCCGCGCGCCACAACTACCGAAACCTGCAGTCTAGAGCCCGTGAACCACAACTACTGAAGCCCGCACGCGCCTAGAGCCCGCGCACAGCAATGAAGACCCAACGCAGCCAAAAATAAAAATAAATTAATTAAAAAAAAAACTTTGAATGGTCGTGCACAAACCACGTAAATTATACTTTGCAGCCCCCCCAGGCTCTACCTCCCACCTCAGGGCTGTTCCTCTCTAGACCCTCTCAGCATACATCCTTCAAGATCTCAGAGGAAAAATACCACCACCTAATTAATGCAGAATCTTCAACTTACAAAGCTCTGGGCGCACCTGGAGACGACTTACTGGACTGTGGACAATGCACCACCGAGACGGGGGGCCTGTGTGGCCGATGGGGCGACAAAGACATTGTGGTTTTCAGCTATTGTCCCGGCTTCCTGCCAGGGAGGGGTCCAGGCCCACCTGTCACCTGGCCATCAATGCAACATCTGAGCTCGACCCCGCCTGGCACACCCTCCTCCCCGCACAGCTCCATACTCACTGTTGTGACATCAAGAGGCCTGGAAGGGGCCCCTCTACTCAAGCTCCAGTCTGAGAGGGCACAGAGGAGCCCACGGTGGCCAGAAAGTTCTATGAGGAACCCCCTCCCCTCCAGAACCTTCCCCAAGGAGCCCACATGCAGCCTAGGTCTCACCTCGCCCACATCACCCCTCATGAATGTTGGCGTTCTGTCCTGTGTGAACCAGGCTGGCCGTCCGCCCTGGTCACGGATAGCTGCTCCTTCTGGGGGGGGTCCATGCCCTGGAGCTTTGCCGCAGTCCCCACCCAGCCCAGCAGCCCCACATGACCTGAATGGCCTCATGGGCTTTTGGGGGTGCAACCCATGCTTTAAAAACAATGAACCATCTCAACAGTGCAAAAAAGGCCCTGTTTGGTAAGGTAGATAGCTAGTGGGAAGCAGCCGCATAGCACAGGGAGATCAGCTCGGTGCTTTGTGATCGCCTGGAGGGGTGGGATAGGGAGGGTGGGAGGGAGGGAGACGCAAGAGGGAAGAGATATGGGAACATATGTATATGTATAACTGATTCACTTTGTTATAAAGCAGAAACTAACACACCATTGTAAAGCAATTATATGCCAATAAAGATGTTAAGAAAAAAAAAAAAGGCCCTGCTTGAAACTAACGAAAGATGGCAAACAACTGGACCCTTGCGGGACAAGCAAGCCCCAGGACCATCAGAGTGGACATCACAAACCACAGCTGCTCATTTCCGGGGTAGTCTGGCTTCCAAATGTTCCTTCTCCGCCATCCCCACAGTTTTCAGATGCCGCTGAGGGGTTCATTTTGATTTTGGTAGCAGTTTCTATTTTATCTAGAATAGGGATCAGGGGTCAAATCAGCTGACCCACTAGTTTTAGAAATAAAGTTTTACGGGCACGGCTATGTGCATTCACAGACATAGAGTCTGGCTGCTCTCGGGCGAGGAGAGCAGAGCTGAGAGGCTGAGACACAGATCACACGACCTGCGCACTCTTGACCACAGCCCCTCGCACCTGACCCCCACCGGCCCGGCACTTACTTCATGGGTTTGAACAGTGCTTGCCCGTAGTTCTGGAAGGTCATGATGAGCTTGAGTTGTGTGCCCCCCGACTTCATGGCTGCAACAGGAGGGAAAGAATACAGGGTCACCTGCTGCCTTGGGGCAGGCCCGTGAGCTTGATGATGCACTGATCCAGGCTCTGGGGGGACCCCCGGGTAGCGGTGGCCTGAGGCTGTGGGGTTAGGTCGGGGTATGGGTGCAAATGTGAGGGTCGTGGGCGGTGGAGTGGGGAGGGTCCGGGACCAAGGCCTGGGGCAGGCAGATGTTTCAGGGTCAGGAAGCGCCAATCAGGGCGCTGGAGGAGCCGTGCTGAGGAGGGTGGACGGGGCCTGGGAAAATGGGCCAACGGCAGAGGTGGCGGGAGGTTGCCACACTGGAGGGTTGGGTGTGCGGTGGCCCCAGCTGGCGCCCTAGATGGTGTCTCCGCTTGCCCCGACCTCGGCCCCCTCTGTTGAAGGGGGCTCACCACACCCACCCAGCCTCCCCCATGGGGCTGGGGGCAGGGCTGAGACCCACTCGTCGGTGCCCCAGGGGACTCAGGTGAGCACGGGGACGCCTTGCACCCTCTCCCGGGGTTGCTCTTGTGGTGACCGGGGTCACGCTAGTGAAGCACCTGGAACAGCGTCGGGCACGCTCAGGTCAGCGGACTTCAGGGGCGAGAGAGGCAGGACCTCAAGGTCCAAGTTCCCATATGTTTCAGGGGCTGCAGGGCTCCGTGGGCGCCGAGGCCAGACCTGTCCTCCAGGTCCCCGGCCACCTGCCTGACTCCTGCTGCCAGGTCAGCAGCTCCATCTGAAGGGGACCTGGACCCAGCATCGGAGACAGTGTGACCCAGGTCTGTGGGTGAAGCTCCCCGAGCCTGTGCCCTCCCCATTCCTAACAAGATCCCTGACCCGTATTTGGATGGGCCACCCTGACTTTAAATGAATGAACTCTGTCTTCTGGACTGGTGGACCACACAGACACCTCCGTGTGGGAGGTGCTGCCAGGTGCCAGCAGGGCCACTGACGTTGTGCCCTCGGCCTCGGCCAGTTCACCTGTTAAGTAGGACCAACGTCTGTCCTCAGGGGTCACGGGCAGGACGCTGGTCCAGCTGTTTTCACGGCCCCTGCCTTGACTTAAGGGTCAGAAGAAGTGAGGCCTGGCCCAAGGGCGGCTCAAGTTTGGAGAATGTGACACCACGAGCCGCTGGGTTCTCTGTTCTCCCCGCCCACCCCATAGCCACGGAGAAAGGCGAGAGCGCGTCCATTTACAGGCACTGAGGGGCCAGCCCCGTGGGCACCTGCCCCACGTAAGCCTGTGCCCCGGCCTGGGTCCTCGGCCCAACCTGGGGGTGCAGCCCAGACTTCAGTCCATGACACAGGCCCCAGGATATTCGAGAAGCAACAGCTTCCGGCCTGGACTACGCCTGACGCTGTGATTTGCTACCATCCAGCTCACCCTTATGGGGGGAGTTCTGCTTACTTGAGAGGGAAACCACAGCACTGCCCCAGGTGGAAACCAGCTCCCGCCCTGGACTTAGATGGAACCCAGTCGGAACACACGCCTGCTGGATTCCGGGGCCGTGGCTGCCAACGGTTCAAGATGGAGAAAGCAAGCGCCGGGGGGGTGCAGCTGGGCCAGCAACGCACAGGCCTTGCCTTTGACCTTCAACCCGACAGCCGAGAGACACGAGGAGGACCTCAGCTATTCACAGGCTTCTCCGGGTCCCCTGGGGCGGCCTTTGTCCCTCCCCCAGGATGACTGAAGGCCCCTCTGGCCCTGGGCATGGGCGTCCAGCTTACTGGGCATTTTCAGTTCCCTTCCTCCGGGTCAGTTGAGCCAGGCTCCGGAGACTGGGGCACAATGCGGTGGTGTCCCCGGGGAAGGAGGGGGACTGTAGCCCTTCTGGGCCCGGAGCCGCCTTCCTGAGCAGCCCGCTCATTAGGCAGGGCGGCCCTACGGCCCCCAGGGCCACTGTCCTAGCAGGTCAGTGAGCGCCCACGACTTCTGTCTCGTGGAGCCGTCTCCACTGCTCGGCACCACCCACGGCTTTGTCCTGATCTGGATGAGCATCTGTGGGGTCTGTGCTTCAGGCCAGAGGCTGCCCGAATCCTCTCCTGCTGAGTGACTTCTTTTTAAGTAACTCCAAGTACAGAGTAGTTAATTGTGTCATTTATTCTTTGCATCCAGGATTGTGCACGATAGTGATTTAATTATCAGCACTATCACTGGCCCAGCCAAAGCCTCTGCAGGTCTGGCTTCAGGGTCCTGAGCCTCTTTAAAGGCGGCTAATAGCCATTGCCAAGCAGCCGGGAGCCCAGCTCTAAAGAAATCTCCGCTGGCCACATGCATTTTGTGAGTGGATCAAGGGGTTCTGAACGGGGAGCCTTGACGGAGCCGTTCTGAGGGAAAGCACCGGGGGCCTCGCAGGACCCGTTCTCATCGCCATACCATTTCTGGGCTCACATTCCAAGACTGAAGTGACCATCTGGGTCCAGACACAGCCCAGAGCTGGGGGCAGAGATGTGCCGACCGTGGGCAAGCCTGCCCTCCCGGAGGCCTGCCCCCGATTTGCAGGGTGGGGTCGGGACACGGGCTGGATTTCTAGCTCTCCCTCCACTTTAAGCTTAAAAGGACGGACGGCGCTGCTG